GGAAAAATAAACATCTGCAATAAAATGCTGGATGCAATAAAAATGATAAATTATTGGGTATCAATGATAGAAGAAATGGAAGAAAGTCTTCGTAGTCTCTTCCATTCTAGTCTCTTCTCATCTCGTCTCTCGCGTTTGGAATACTCCGTATTTAAGCGTGACAAGTATTCAAGCTCTGTCATTAACTGACATATAGGGAGGAAAAAAAGGAAAGGAAACAACCAAAGTGCGGTAAGCGGTGCACCGATCGACGGTCACGGAACCTGCGAAACTACGAGCGAGCGGGAGAAAGTTCTCGCGGGATGCAAGCGCAATTACAGCGAGTGATAAAAGTGCCACTTAGCACTATAATCTGCGAGTATTTTTACGTCCTTTTGATTTGACAGAGAAACGACGGGGCAACGAGAAATCAAAATGCCACTTTGTGCCGCAATTTGTCCATGCGCGTTTCCACATCGCGCTGGTATTACCCCTTTTTTCCCGTTCATAAAACTACTCGAGTTACGAGCGCTTCTCGCATCGTGTGAAAAACAATTTCTCATCTTTGACACCATGTCGTGTGAAACGTGATGATTTCGGGACAGCGAGACGGGAATATTATTTTGTTTGTTTCTTATGTCATCGTTTTTATATATTACTAAAGGTCTCTTGTATGACTTTCGTAAATTTTTTAAAATAACAAATTTTATTTCTTTAAATTAAAAAAAATTTCTTTGTATTAGTAAATACTATTTTTCCAAATGTATTAATTTTATTATAAATAGTTTTAAAATAAAATAATTAATAAAAGTTTTTCTAAATTTATCACAAAATAGAGAATTAATTATTTTCTAAACTATATTTTGAATTACAATATATCTTTATTAAATTAAGAAATTTGAGATTACCGATTAAAGTTAATTATTTTATTAAAACTAAACGCATATTTTTAAAACACGCGACTTCGAGCGACGATGAACCATCCGCTTTAGGAAGTACCCATCGAAACAGAAGGGACATCGAGTACTGCCAGCGCGACGCGGTCCTCTCGTCGTCTAATTGAATGGCATTTTATTTAGCACAGTTCCCCGCACTCTGGATAGCCGCTATTTACCTCAATTACGTAATTCACCGTACACAACCGGCCGCGCAGCTATCCACCATAGGCATCGCATGGTGATGGCGCACCCGATGGTAGTGGTAGTGGTGGCTGATGGTGGTGGCGGTCGGCTGATGACACGTGTTTGCGCTACCGCCGCCATGCAATTAGCCCCCAATGTAATTTCGCGCCATAAGAGCGTGCCACGCTCTTTTGGCCTAGTGCCGTTCCCGCGGGCGCATCGGTACACCGGTATTACGAAGAGGGAAGTGATTTCGTTCAGGACACGTAAGGAAATTCGAGTCTCGTGCCAATCTTCGTGTTTTGTACCGGATGCACTTTTGTACATCACGCATTGACCGGACTAATTATCAGTTTCATCATTATCGATATCCGTTCTTCATACGTCATCGTCTTAATTCTAAAACAATTAGAACGTTACTTCTAAGATGCAAAATAGCTCTTAATAAATTACTGTACTAACTTCTCGGACATATTTAAAGTATGAAAAAAATTTTTAACAATATGCATGTATTTCATTCATAGAAGATATAAGTATTTTTGTTTAGAATAATATATACTTCGAGAAAAAAATATTAATATTTATATATAATTTATTTTTTATATATTTGTACACATATTATTTTATGTATTATTATTTTAAAATATATTATCAATGCGATGGCTTTTACGTGAGCGTACAATTGCAGTTGTATGCAACAAACTCATAAACTTCGCTATATCTAAAAACGCTATTATCATGTAATACAAAACAGAGTTCTGCACAAACTTTATTTCTCGTATATTTCTCGTATACAATACTAAAAGTTTCTTGTTATTCAATATTCATATTTTTTTTTCCGGTTATAGCGCTCATTATAGAGATCTGCAATTTCATGTTAAAAATAATCAAACAATTTGAAAGTAAAAATACTACTAATAATAGCAACCGGTTCAGTTATACTTAAATTGAAAGTTTCTTTAATGTATATAAGAATATCATATATAAACATTTGTTTATAAGAACATGAAGAAATATTCATATTTCCTTTGGCATTTGTGTAGACGATTACTTACTGTCAGTACAATTGTAATTAATGGTGCATTCGCCAATATATCGAGAATGAGTGCTCGAGTAATTGAAGCATCGTCTATATACTGGCAAAACGTGACGTAATGTTAATAGATAGTATATAATCTAGCGATTAATATCATTGTAGACGAACTGCGCACAAGATAGTAATTGTGCTCGCTCTGTCTGATTGGACATAATTATAAATCGGAAAGAAATGTCTCTAGGCTCATTGTGCTACGACGATTAAGGAATTTCTATTCAAACTATTTCATTTCATATTTCTAAACAAACGTATATATTTCTAGAGTTTTGTCTAATTGTCTAAAAATTTGTTCTAAAGATTTATTCTGTATATTATTAAGAGAATTTTGTATTTATTTAAATTCGTGCTCAGTGTTAATAAAAAAATTTATCAAGTTTTTTATATTTATTAAAAATTTTTAAATATTAGATTAATAATATCGAAAAATATAAATTGAAATATTGCGTACAACAATAATATATTTCGTGTCTATAATAATCACATAAATGAAATTAAAAGTACAGTTAAAAGTATAATTAATACCAAAAAAGAGGATTTATCTAATAAAGTTATTTATTGAAGTACGCTGGCTTATATAGAAAACATTTTATTCGCTCGTTTCATGATCAGTCATCCATGAAAAGAAAATTTAATCATAGATAATCAAAAGTCATTAATTTTAATTAAAAATATAAAGAAGCAATGTAATAACATTCTATCACAAAACAATTTATATTAATTGTACTAAGAGTTTATACGATATTGAAGATCAATAAATAAATAAATATATATTAAATATATATTAATATATTTTAAATATATAATATTTAATATATATTAAATATATAATTAGATTATTCGCATACAGAATGTAATTTATTTGTATTTGATTTTCATAATGCATTTGTTATCTTCTAGATAGTATCTGGAAGAAACTTTGTCTTATCATATAAAATATTATATCTCTTGCTGAAATTTTTTATATCATAGTTACCGTCGCATATTTACGTGTCAAATTATACGATACATTTAAATAGATTAATAATATGTATAAAAATGATATATACAATCAATATAGCTATTTTTATTTAAATTTTATAATATGTTTTATTATATTTTTATATTATTATAATATTTGAAATAATATTAAATAGATTTTGTAGAATTTCATATATTTACATATTTATATAGATAGAGCAATAACAAGTAATAATCGAATGCAAAATTTATAAATTGTAGCATAAATTAAAAAATTAAGTAGTTTTGCTAAGTAGCATGCATTATCGACACGTATGTGTTGCATTGACCACTCTTTCGGGCTTAATCAGCAGGAATTATTGTTAAATCTGTTGACGCTTCACTACCCTCAATCTCATCATCGATGCAACGGTGCATACTTCGAAGCAATAGAAAGAAAAAAAATATCGCGCCGTTCGTATGCTCCATCTTCTACCGAGAGTAGACGCCCTTCGTGGTGGATTAATGGGCGGAGCCAAGGACATCCTTTGCTGCCAAAGTGTCGCGACAAGGTTCGCACGATCAGGCGAACTAGCTAAGAAAGCATAAATTACATGGTCCAAAATTTTAATAATCATTCAGGATAAATGTACACCCAAAAAAAGATCATTTAGCATTTAATAGATTAATATATGTCACAAACTGGAATTCAAATATTAATAAATTTTCCATAGAGATAACTCTATTATTAAACTTAATAATTCCACCACAGCTCAATACATTACGGATACTTACATATACATTTGCACATTATTTATATATAGATATATGTTTTATGATGATAGAGCAAAAAAAATCAAAATAAAAATTAAATTAATATTAATAAGAAGACTAAAAAAAGAGAAGATATGTATTTGCTATGGATAAAACAAAATAGTAAAAGTTCAAATTTATTTTTTATATACTTTAATTTTAAAAAATGTGAATAATTTCCATAATGTGTCAATATCAATAATTATACTTTACACTGAATAAAAATGTAATTATGTTTGTAGATATAAATAAGATTGTATGTTATATTAAAAAAACGGATTTCTAAAGAGAAAAATTGACTCAAATTTTCCTTCAAAAAAAAAAAGAACTTTAAATGACATGAATGATAGTATGAAAATAGAATAAATGCAGACACAACTGTTATCTCTAAAACATATGGATGTTATTGATCAAATTATTTTTGGAAAATAAATATCGTTTTAAAAATTAAAGATTTCATGTTTGTATTCGAAATTATTAGCTTCAAAAGAATAATCACAAATAAGCTCGTCTCAACTCAATTTTCAACAATCGAAAAGTCAAATACTCAACAATTGGAATGTCACTCGTCGAATCTCTCTCACCTCCTGTCACAATGAGTCTGATAGCGCGATTTAGTCAATGAATCGAGCAAGCCGAAAAGAATACAGACGCAATTTTATAACGGATAGTTCGCCGATGTCTCTGTAGTCTTCTTCAAGTATATCTCGACGATATCAGGACCTAATACGCGCGACGAACGAACGGGCTTCCTCAGGTATACAGAACACCTCCGCGTTGTCAGTCGCCCCGAGGGCGTCCGGGTATACATGGGCGTAGTTGTTCTGCAGCAACACCCACCTAGACACCATAATGGCCTCCACGCCACCAGTCGCAATTGAGGATTTCATGTAGAGTTGGAGGGGAACAGCACAATGTACCAATCGCAAACGTGCCTGGTACCCGTCATAGGCGTGGCCTTGAGTAGCGCCACCGCGGCAACTTTCAGAAACGGTGAACCGGGCTCCGGGGAGAGGCTCCGGCTTCATTATGTATCATTATACCGGTCCGCGCCGCGCGGTGTGCACTGCAGTTACTGGAACCAGGCGCGCGTGTGTGCTTTTCTCTCTTCTTCTACGTCCTGGTCGTCGTCTTCTTCTTCTTCCCTTACTTTCTTCGCCCAGCCGGTACGTTCGCGTATACGTCGAGCGTGCACGATACGCTCATCGGCCAAGTAATCGTGGCACGACGCGTGTAAAAACTATACCGTCGCCGAGGAGATGCACGAACACGCGCTTGTGTCGGATTGTACGGCGTGCAATTAAATTGGCGACGAACGCGAGTGTTGGGATATACAATATAGATTTTCGGTACTCGTCGTGCAGAGCGAACCGAAGGATTTCATTTTGGTGTAGCTACCCACGCGCGGATGATCGCGGACCTTTGGCGCGATAAAGTTTGGTAACATCCATCAGCGAATCAAGACTGTGTTGAAAAGTGTGAACGAGTGACGTTTCGCGACTGGAGTACGATGCAACGTGAGTGAAGAGGACCGATATGCTGGTGGTCTGGTCACGCCGTTGCGGCGCGTTCCCATTTAAAAGCCGAGCAACGACGAGCTGACGCATGGCCGAACAGTAACGTCAACCAAAACTCTTTGGCTGAGTACAGTGTCTCCGAGAAGACTACGCGTGTGAAGTGGACGTGTTACAAGTGCTGTCCGAACTTAAACAAACAAAAGATCCAGACGTGAATCTTAATCAAGGAACGATTCACGGATACGTGTGACAAACACTTATTTGAAATAGTCAAAAGTGATATTGAATACCACAGTGAACCCTTTAAAAAAAACGGAACATTGTGATAGTGCAACTTAACAAAAGTAATCCAGTGTGTGCGATCAAGCGACATTTCGTTTTCTTTTTTAATTCCAAAACTTTAAGCTGGAAACTGAACGGCTTGAAAACTTGAAGATTGATCCTCTTGTGATTCAATGACGACTCTTCGCATCTATTCCGATACTTGGTCAACATAGTCGTACTAGGGCGCAGCGTACTCGTTGTAGAGAAGCCCCAAAATTCGGGCCCCGTACGGAGGGTACGCGACGGTCGCGGCGGCGACGACGTCGTCGGCAAGCTTGGCGGCGGCGAGGACCGTGGGGTGTGGCGGCGGCATCGACGTTGTGTCTAAGGTGGAGCGTCCGGGCAGCACGACGACGCTCAATTTCACGGATCTGGGGAGCCCATTCGGGGCGGGCGACCCCTGTCCGTCGAGTACCCCGACCCCGAACAGCATGTCGGGCGGCGGTGGACCTACCGGCGGCGGTGGTGGCGGCGGTGGCGGCGGTGGCGGTGCCGCCGGTACCGGAGGCGCCGGTTCCGACATGGAGCAACATCTTCATCACGCGGGCCTCGGTTCGGTGACGCCCGGTCCACCCGGCGGTAACGGCGGCGATAGCACGACATCCAGCACGCCGGTCTCTCAAAGCGGCAAGTCCGCCTTCATCGAACTTCAGCACAACAACCTCTACAATCCTGCGAGCCTGCGGAGCGGTTACCCGGGCGGACACAACATACCTGGAGCGCACCAATTCTCGCATCAGGTCGGTTCGTTGGCGCACCAAGGATCTGGGCCCGGCAGCGGGAATCAACAGCACGCGGACGCGGGCTTCCCCAGTCCCAGATCGTTAGCCGGATATCCGTTCACGCCCATGCACCAGCACAACGCCTACGGATATCACATTGGAACGTACCCCCAGTGCCCCTCGCCGCCCAAGGACGGTGAGTACCCCAACTGTATGTATTCGCAGCCTTTTTTATTCCTATTCTTAGATTACATATATCTAGTTAATTTCAATCGGCGAGATCTCCGTTCTTTGCGATTTAATATCGCCGATCCGGATTAGCGTTTCATGTCGACCGTGGAATCGCGAAAAGATATGATAATGTAACAAAATTAATTTTGTACTCATCAGTGAATCTCGGAGTGAAGTTTACGCGAGTGCTAGTTGCATAAAAGTGCAAAGTGGAGACGGAGATATCATCGAAGGGCTCAAGGTGTTTATGCGATATCGCGAAAATTTTGGTGATGCTATTGAAATCCCGCAAAAAAATATATAATGTTATAAGCTTTCAATTCAGTGATATTCTAGCAACAACAGAAGTTATTACTAATATTATTTTTTGCGCCATGGGAACATTGATGCGAATGAAGAGCTTTAAATGTTCGTTCGAATATTCACTTTGAGTCTTACATTTTAAATATAGATAAATAGATATGACGATCTTTCGAAGTCGTCCATCATCGGTACGTGGACGACTTCGAAGTTGCAAAGGCGAGTATCGTGCCAGCATCGTAACATTTGTCAAGGATGATATGGTCATCTTGACACGAAAAACAATATAAGACGGCGACAGGCGTTTCCGATGGGTCACCTATATATCGTGTGTCGAACACTTTATTATTACGACTTTATTATATAGCTGTAGGACTTTATTGCCGCTTAGTGAATGTCTTCATTGCCGCTTAGTGAATGCCTTCATTCGCTCAAGTAAATTTCCGTGCGACAACAAATGTGGAACGCTTATGGCTTCGCGACGTAAAGCACAATCAGATCGCTGCAAAAAGGAAACGGGTTATGCTTGCTGCCCGCACGGATTCCTATTTGTGACTCCTGCTGAGTCCTCGTTAAATCACTCGTTCGCATCGTTTTCCATACATAACTTTTTGTAGGAACTTCACTGTGTTGTAATCCTTATTTCCAGTGTAAAATATAAAGAACTGTGAGAGATCTTTAAAAGAATTTGAAAAATGAAACATAGAAAACAAGATGAAGGAGTTATACGAATAAAAATGACATTTATAAAGGGTTTTAGAATATCTTTAGCTTTCTTTTTTCGTATCTAAATATATTCCAAAAATCTAGAATAGCAGGTAGTAGCCGACGCCTTACCTATGTTACAGCACAATGCTGTGAGAGAATAAGATATATGACTGAGAATCCGCTCCAAGTCCACAAAAAAATCCCGCCAAGGGACTAACGAACGAGAACAAAAGATTTAGGACCAAACGGGAGCAGTTGTAACTTCTTCTTCAGGAGCTTTTAGAGGTTTCCTTTTGATCGCTTTACTTCTTCGTGTTTTTATCTTCCTTACTTAATAGTATTAGCACGATATAATCACGACTTTTGTTTTGCGCACAAAATCACGAGTCAGCTAATTACGATCATTATCGGATTCGCTCCAAGTTCATCGTAGATCGCGGAATCGCTTAAGTTTAAGGCATGTGCGATGTAACGATACTTAACTTTAGAATATCTTCTTAAATACATTATTGTTAACGAATTCAACAAAATTAGTTATCTGAAGATTAAAACTAATTAAGATTTTGAAAGTACGATGAAGAAAATATAGTATAAAAGTACAAGAGCAGTAAGCAATGAATACATATTTAAATTATTGAAATTGTTTATATTTAGTTATCAAGTTGTCTTGTCATCTCGTGGAAATTTCTGTTTTATTTGTTTATAAATATGTCTAGCACAGTTCTCTCATGTATTGGTCTAAACACAATGCGACTATATACACATCCGCATCGTGAAATCGCGTGATCAAGATAACTTATTTCGCCAAGGAAGTCTGCATGCCGTGAGGCTCCATGCAGCGACATTTGCGCTGGTTTCTTATTTTTCGATCGTATTTTCAAATATAGTAGTCCGGAGTATCGGCTTTAGAAATATTCCGGAGCCGTGGCAACATTCGGCGAATAATTTATCGTGGTGGACATGCGCGTGATGTATAGAGCAACGAGGAACTCCGTTGGCGCGCTTAGACAAACGTTCATAGGAGCAAAACCGACGGGACAGCGGCGACAGTTTGCTACCCTCCATCCGCGACCCATGAATTCGTAACGACAGCCGCGTGTCCACCATCGCGGCATGTGGCAACCTCTCTGGAAGCCCGGCATTTCTGCGTAATCTACCGCACCGGGTGACCCTCGCTTTGGCGTGCGAGCAATTTTTGTGGCGCCTCTCTCGAAAATTGCCAGTGAACTCCCACTGGCGAGATGGAACGAAAGAGTTTGTTCGCGGGAGAAACTTTTCCGCCAACGGGAGGAATCCGCGTGCCATCGGGCGCGGTACAATTTTTGCTCGACCGAGCGGGCGAATGAACGAAGAAACGATCGGCGCCGGCGATCATTCGTCAGGGGGTTGAATTCTCACGCACGGAGGGTTGTAACGCGCGGAAACTTACGTTTCGTCTTTAAATTGCCGGTCATTTTCCTTTGCAACTTGTGCACGGCTCGCTTTTCATAAATCGCACGGGAACAAAATGCATATCCTCGATCTGCTTCGCGAACTGCATCGTAAAAACTTGATCGAAGGGTTGACATAACTTCAGTATTTTCATGGAAAAGTTCCATCGAGGTTCTGGTAGAAAAGATAGTTACGTATCGTTGCGATATTTGAAGTACTTGTTAAAACTTTTGTCAATTCTGAAGTGTTGTGCAGAGGTGAATAATGTGTACGCGAATAAGTGTGTAATAAAAAAATCGATATCATAAAGATTGTGGCATCATATTTACATCGATTTAATTAAATTGAAGAGAAATATGAAATCACCATCATTATTTATCTAATTGTTAACAATTACATTACAATTTGTATATTCTACTCAAAGTGATTTCGTTATTTGTTTATTTGAACACGAAGCACAAAATTAACTTACTTCAGAACAATTATTTCGGAACAATTTTGATTACTCGATTAAAATAAACGACACAGTCAATTGCGTGAGTTTCATAATACGTATTGTAATAAATATACGTTTGTGCGCAATTGAATCGGAAATATATTCTCAAAATCATGAGTTTTCATAACTGTATAAAATTAAATAAAAAAAAATTTATGAATATTAAAATTATTTTTCGAGAAGTAAATGGAAATAATATTGTTAATATTAATCAATAAACAGGCAAAAAGTACATTTTATAAAAAAAATCGCAAACTATTACCCAACTAAAACTTTCTTAAACTACTAAAATTTCTACTAAAATTAATTGATATGATTTGAAAATAATCTCTGAAATAAAAATAAAATGTTATTTATAAGATAAATAAATATTACTTGTCTTCTTTGTATAAACAAACAAATGAGGCGAATAAGCATAACAAAAGCACAAAAAGTTCAACAAACTGCCACATATTATGTAGATATTTTTAGCTAATAAATTATTATCATTATCTCTTACGTGTGCGATGAATAAACTACAGTCGAATGCACTTCATAAAAGTGATTTATAATAAGATTGTCCGCGCTTTTACCTCAGCTCGCGACGTCAATCTCTTGATGATTGTGTCATCATACTTGAGATGAATTTACATAAAATCTATGAGACCAAGCAATACAATAATACACATATCGGTTGATGAAACAATTGGTATCATTCATCTGGAATAGAAACGTCGTCGAAAACATCGTCGATGAAATTTTTCATCACGCACGCGTGCTCTCCATGAAAATATTTTCATCGCGCTTGCTCGCAATCAACGCGTGTAAATCCACGATTGTAATGTCGGCGTAATTACGAGTGTTTCCTTTGAAATCAGCTCGTAGGTGGAGAGTCGTGCTTCGGCGGCGACGCCACGATTATCGCGGTTGCTCGCGATGTTAAACGCTCTTAGACTTGTTCGAGTTCGAGTAACGCTAATGAAGCTGTCCGGGAATATACGAGCATCAATGAGGAGCCGCGAGAACGTAAAGGAGGGGTTGTCCGCGTGTACGCAACTTGTCGAGATCCACAGTGAGTACACCCGGCGCCTTTGCGCCCTCGACCAATCTTATCGTCGCGACAAATGAACCGGCCATTAACCAGCTTGTCCGCGCGTCTGCGTCACGCCCGTTGTCCTTCTACTCTTCGGACAAAGCTGGAACGTGGCTGAAGCTGGAATCCAATTAGCGGGGGCTCCTCTCGTATCAGACGGAGGCCCCCACGGTATCTCGCATCAGTCACCTGACGTCTGACCGCCGCCCGATTTAATCCGGAACGGTCGAAAGACAATGCGTGCCCCGTGTTCGAGTGATGGATTAGGTATTAAACGGTTGTTTTCACAAGGATTAGGTAGATACATCGACCTGAAGAGCACGCCGACCCGGCCTTTCTGAAGCTCCGCTGACCATGCTTAAATGGATCGCTCGGATTTATGGAAATCCTATTTCTTCTAGAAATATACTTTTGAATATTTCTTTCGACGACTATTTCTTACTGTACTCTCCAGATTTAGGATTTGAAAATATGAAAATAAATTAAGAGAAAATAGATAAATGTTAATATAACTTAAAAGTAGATAAATATTTGATAAAAACATGTTTGAAAGTTTTATGAAATGAATTAAACATTAAACATTAAGTTAATGAGAACTAAATTTTAAATTTTTGTGGGCAATGCATAATATAATATTATCAACATGTAAGATATAAATGAACTTTAATTGGTAATAAAAGATAAAAAAATATAATTTTACTTCTAAATGTGCTTAGTAAAAACATTTTTGATTTTAAAAAAAGTAAAATGCCCGAATAACTTGTTCAGTAATTATGAGTTAGGCAATTTTATAACTCTAAATCTTTCGAATAGCTATGAATTTCTCAATAGTAGCCTCCGGTCTCAAAGAAAGGAATGTTTTCATTCCGAGTTACATCGAAACACAAAAATGAACTCGGTGAGCTTTTTCATCGTTTCTTGCGCGCAATGTGGTAGCGATGTGGAAATACAAGATGTCGGTTCAGCGACAATGTTAGACAGGCTGCGTTAAGTCCAGCCTAGGGCAGAGACGGACACCTTGTAATTTCGAGTTCTTTGGATTGAGAGCCGCGCGCCTACCGTGTGATTATCAACGTCGCATTAATCGCTTGGTGAGCTTATTATCATACGTTCGGTTGGGTTTGATTACGCGACTCTAAAAGAACCTTCAGCGATGCGAGGCGGCTGAATACGCGCGCGCCGCCGCCGCAAAGTAGCACTTTGCGGCAGTTTCTGCCGCTGCCGCACACTTTGCATACGCCTCGGTGTTAAAAACCATAACTCTAGCCTCTCTCTATCGTATCCCCGCGCATCGTGAGCTCTCGCAGAGCGGCGCGAAAGAAAAGTGTTCCCATAAAACAGTACCTTCGTCTCTTCACGCACGCGCGAAGTTACACTCTACCCGGTCGACACCACGTCGCCTTAATCGGTTATAATTAACAACAAGAGCTCGTAATCACAACTAACCCCTCTATAAAATTTATTGCGCGCTACGTTACACGTCAATACACCGTGCGACAGTGTTAACTGTTACTCCGTAATAGAAGATGATAAAAGAGTTGAGATCAGTTGAAAGAGTGCATTTTTAGAATATAGAATTTATAGAGCATATTATTCCTTTGTGTTTTTTATCGTCTCTTATCTATTTCAAAATTAATTCTGCCTATAATTATAATTCCAACAAGACCATAAATTTTGTAATTAAATAAAGATATTAAATAATATATTACATGATAGAGTAACGTAGTATTATTAACATAGTCGTTTTATTAAAGATTTTAAGTGTTTTAAATTAATTTCTTGTCATCAGAAACAGAAAGTAAATATCATGATTAAAATATTAATAAATTAATCTACTCTTTATCCGCAAAGAATTGAATCATAATGTCAAAGAGAGTTGAGGGTGCATTTACACCGATATTAAATATCGCACACACGCCCAGTATCGCTTCGAAATTATACGGGGAAGATAAACACGAGCGCAAACACGCGATTGCATCGCCGTAGCGCGATGTAACCTCGTGGAAAGTTTATGGGAGATCATTATTGTCTTTTACGCGCGATCAAAGCCTCCCTGTTGACTCTCCATTGATCCGCGCCTTGTCGATCCTTTCTCGCTCGTTGCCGAGACTCTCATGTATAAATCACGAAGAATCACACGCGCGCAAGTACGCTCGACAACTCATGCTAATTAATAATCGTACTAATTGTCATGGGAAAAAAAAAAAGAGGATTCTCGCATTTCAAATCTACGCATCGCATCGCATTGTCAATTATAAGTCTCGGCTATCTCGATATCTCTGCTTGTTTAACTTTCGGAATTTTCCATCCCTTACGACAAAACGCGCCTATCATCGTACAGAACAAGAAGTGTCCGTGTCTCTCCTCTCTCCCGGGAAGGCCGTTCGCGTCTCCCCGATGAAAACACGCAACATCGTAATCGCGATATAAAAATAATGAAACAGATTCCGCGCGAGATAGGCGGCGCGGGCGCTGGCACGATGCGCACCTCTATCGAGCTCTACGCTACTTCATTGCATCGCTTTAAGATTGATATATGGCTCCGTAATTAATTACCACGCCGTTAACGCACCGTAGGGCTTTCCTTCCCCCCCCCCCCCTT